ATCATGACTTTCCGGCTTTCTCTTCGGGTCATGATAATCAGACATAATACGTGTTAAAACTTTAGTTATTCAGTGAATAACCACATTAATTTTATGCAGAAAATGAAATAAAGTAGAAATGAAACATGAAAACAAGATTAAAATGTTATGCCACCAGTTGAAGAACGTCTTCGAACTGTTGCATTGCAAACAAAGGAGAATGATGAACAAGCGTCAAAACTAGAAAAAGCGTTAAATCTTCTAAAAATTCAAACATCAAAATTAAAATCGTCTCAAGGCGAAATTGAACAGTTAAAATCTGATCATCAACAGCAGTCAGTCTTTAACGAATATAAATGATCAACTACTTCGAATGACATTGGATCTTCAGATATTGGTTGATATGGACGATTGTCAAACTCAGACAGAATTTATCAAAAGAGAAAATAATAATCATTACACGCAGACAGATATTACAAAATTGCAAAGCACAGAATGTCAAAGTAATTTGATAAATAATAATGACCAAGAAACACAAACACAGTTAGTTAATTATGGGCGCTGGTAAGTGAGTTTTTCGCGATCTAGTTTTCATGTGTGTATGTCAACTTGTTGATATTTTGACTTATGATGAATATTTGGATAAATCAGTTAATGATGAAGATGAGACCGAGGAAGTTACTACTAGAAATCAACTGAATGATGAATTATCATCGATGTCATTAGATAAAATTTGTGATTATTTATCATCTGAATCGTATCAGACAATTGCACGTTCAAAACTTAATTTTACTGAATTACAAACATCCCAAGATCAAAATGAATTTCTGCTTCGTTTATGCTATTTAGCTTATCGTTGTTATCAAATTCAATTACAATCGTACGAAGCAAAACATTTATACAATGAAGGATATATTCGGGTGTTAAAAGATGAATATCAACTATTAAATTCCGAGAAAAATGATCTTTTTGAACAATTAACACTTGTACAACAGCAAAATCATGAATTACAAACTAGATTAGACAAATCAAAAGATGAAAGACATGAACTGAGTAATCGATCATCTCTTCACAAGAAACTGAATGCCCTTGACTTCGTAGTGATGTATAATGGACATTTCTCACTAGGCAGACAGACATCAAGCTTTTAATCATCGGAAATGATTATTTTTGACTCAATAACGGCTCTTTATACGTGAAAATAGTATTTTTGCGAGAAGAAAACTTATTTTGAATATTTGATCAAAAACGTCTGAAAAATATCTCAGAAAATGTTACATTATTCGATGTAGTTTTTAGCGCTGATTACGAATAGAATAGTCCTTTTGGTTTTTAGTCGAAAACAATGAGATTTTTGGAAAATTCATTGTGAAGTCCAGAAAAATCTGTGCTATTTTGAATTAAATTTATAGATGAACTAGATACAGAGCACTATTTGTGTAAAGTTTGCACTCTGTTGGAAGAGTGAAAACTTATTATATTCAATAGATCATTTTTGCAAATAGTGTTAGCCTTGAAAAGTAGATTTCTATCATACCAGAATAAAAATCAACGATTTTTTTGTCAGAAATGTAGTAAGACCATTAGGGTTTAGTCTTAAAATCATTTTTAATCTTTATTTAAATGTAGAAGAAACCGAATTTTTATCATTCATAGTTTTTTTTAACTTTTTTCCTCGCCTCAGTTATCTGATCGTTCGACTAATTGAACGCTATTTTGCCTCATTTAGATTCTAAACATGATGATGAAATAGCTGAACTAAAATCGTCTTATGATAAATTTCTAGAAGACATTCAACAACAGCACCTTCTAAAATATGAATTGTGTGAACAATTATCAATAGAATTAAAGCAAGTAAGATCTGATTTACATTCAAAATTGTTCCAGTACGATCGAGAACATGCCGAATATGAAGAACAAAAAGTTCAGATTAAACAATTAACTGATTTTCTGCGTGAATACAATTATGCGGAATTGGAATAGAAATATATGAATCGAGAACGAGGTTATATCGAAATGCAAAAGAATTGTGATTATTTCAGACAAGAGTTCGAACGATTAAAAAATATTGAACTAACAAATTTAGAACAAAATTTGAATACAAAACAAGAATTAGATTTGATGCAACGTGAAAAGGAGACATTGGAAGAATTGAATTTAGAATTATTTCAATATAAAGTACAATTTCAGCAACAACATGAGTCTGATATGGAATCAAAATTATCGTCAACCGGAGTCGCCGTTACATCAATACATGAACAGGAAGATGATCGATGTAAGTTATAATTGTATTGGAGACAATTTTTGGAAGAATGTGACTGACGGAGGGTTCCATATAGCCCTTCGAAGATCCGATCTTCTGGAAAACCAATTTTTCAGAAACTCCCTAAAATAACCAAAGCCTTTTTTAACGAGACAGAATTGTACAAATTTCTGATTAAAATGAGATATCCCCCAGCTCTACATGACCTTTCTTTACAAAGTTATAAAATTTATAAGAAAAGCCCTAATTAATTTCTGTAGCTTTGAGCTGACAATGAACATTTAGGGCTTTTATTGCAAATTCTATAACTTTGCAAAGAAAGGTTGTGTAGAGCCAATCATGTCTTGTTTAGAAAGGTATTGGTTATTTTTAAAGACAGAATCGAACAAATTTCACTTTTGCAGAAAACTGCAAAAATAAATTTTGACGGTCTGTCGTACATTATGCACAAGGATTAAGATTGTACAATCACTTAACGGTCAGTATCACTGTATTTATACTAGTAGTATACAACCGCCCTCTATTTGTACGATGATTTTTGTATTACGCCCATAATGTTGCCATAGTAAAATCACACAGTTTTGTACAGAATTGAAGGGGGAATCCTTTTAAAAAATAAAATTAACTGTCAGTCAATCAGCATATAATCAAAAATTGTAAGCAAATACTATAACTTTGTTTCAATTGGTAAACAGTTAGTAAGCAAAAATTTGGTAGTTTTGTAAAAGTTCTCCTGGCTTCAAATTTGAAGAACCCAAACGTTGGAATGCGGAATCAAGTAGTACTGTATCAATAGTGCTTGGAAATGTTTGAGCAAGTTTGACTTTGACTGATCTGAAAAGTGCTATTCCCAATATCAGATCTATATTAGGGAATAGATGGAAATTTAGTTAACTCGAAATAAGCTTAAAACCAACAAATAATCCGCTGTTTTTATATACATTCCGCTGGAATTTATTCACATGGTCGAGATACATTGGATACTCCTACATAAGAAAAGTGCATTTTCACCGTTCATGCTACATTGTTAGAGTGCGGGATAAGCTACTAATAAGATGGAAGCAAAAAATGTTTCCTACCAGGCATAGGTTTTTTCTAAACCCCATAGTGAATTTTTCAAGCAAAATAACTATGATATTCAGAATCAGCATAGCCGACTGAAGTTCCATTGAAATTTGAAAAAAAATTTAAGAAAATCCGAGTAGACAATTTTCTTCACAATTATTTGTTGATCGCGACCATCTAGTTTTTGTTCAAAAATATTTGTCGATGAAAAATGACCTTAATATCAATGATGTATGATTTGAACGTTTTGTTTGCAAAAGCGTATAAAAAATTAAAGAAAAGAATTATCACTTAAGCAGCTTGATACAGTTGGAGTTACTGAGAGTGACTTGTTCTTATGTTAAAAGTTCTAATTTTTATTTGTATGAATTTAGCCAAATGAATCAATATCGTGAAGAACTTGAAAATCAGTATCAGATGAAGAGAGAACATTTGTTAGCATTAAAAAATCAACAACAACAACAACAAGAGCAGATGGATGTTGATACACAAACAGTTGATATATGAATGACAGAATATGAAGAAATGAATTATCATAACCAACTAGAACAATTAGAAAATAAATTATTGAAAAACAGTGAAGAAAAAGAAATGTTACGTCAACGCCTATGTGAAGTAGAATTTGAATTAAATTAAAGGAAATTTATTGTAGAACAACAAAAAGAATAAAAATGATCAATTACGGTTAGTAGATGCAGTCTGTGTTTATATGTTTATTATTATTAAAACGATGAATAATTTTCTTTTTTCTAGAGAATATGAAAATACATTGAAAATGTATGAAGTACAAATAGAACTTTAATTAGTGAGCGTGATAGTCTTGTTGAACAACAGTATGAACAATTAAAACAATTGGAAAAACAATATCAAGAAAAATTAGAAGAACAAAAAACTATATCAAATGTGGAAACTGAAATACTAAAAGAAAAGTAAGAGAGAAAAAAATAAAATAAATAGTCAATGTATGCTATCTTAAAATGTTGTTTGTATTTCAAAAGAGAAATTTATCATTCAATGCTATATTATATTTCATGCTATTTTTTAGTTTATCTTCCTCACCATTGTCAACTGATCGTATATCTCGTCGTATATTTAAACAAGAATTACACACATGGAGATCAGAAACAGAACGTTTAACTTTAGTTTTATAACAAATTCAAAGTGAAAATAAAAAATTAAAAGAATTAAGATCAAAACTGAACATGATGGCTCTCGATTATTTAAATGAAAATGAACGTTTAAAACGTGAAAATGAACAATCGTTAAGTTCTAAATCATCTCGTTCATTATTTGCCTCTTCTACAGAACAAACCGATCAAGATATTTGTCAATTAATAGTGCAACTGTTAACATGTGAAGTGGCATTACAAACGACATCATTTGAAAATTTAGAAAATTTATGTAAGAATTTTTCGAGACGACTATCAAACTCAATTTATCAAGAACTTGTTCGAGAAATTCATTTATTGAAAAGTATATTTATCCGAGACGATAAAAATCCAGATTTAGTGCAAAATTTACAAATTAAAATAAATAGCACAACAAATAGACTGAGGGAAACAGAAAGCCAGGTGTTACGATAGAAAACATTTTTTTTTCAAAAAAAAGTCTTAATATTTATTTTATGTTTTAGTTGAGAATGATTCGTTTGCAAAATGTTCGTTTAAAAAACCAGTAGAAAATTACACACTCCAATTTAAACATGTTCAACACGAAATGAACGATAAAATTCAAGAAATATTAACATTAAAAAAGGAAATAGACAGGTAAAAGTATAAACAAATAAGAAATCTCAGAGAATAATATTTTAGAAAAAAATAGACTATTTATTCACGGTAGTAATTGAAAAACAGTATTTTATAGACTAAAGACGGAAAAAACATAGTTAAATTATGTTTAGACTTCGTGCAAGTGAATTACAATATCGTATCGAAGTTGATTGTCTAAAGACAGAATTTCAAGGTGTACAATTAACATGCAAACAATTACAGCGAGAATTAGCTGATCTAAAATTATCTCAACCAATTGTCAATGAATTTCTTATGGTAAGTCCAATATGTTTTTAATTATTATTTTAACACTCTTTTCGTAAGAAAGAATAAAAATTATTTTTGTTATTATTCTTGACGCAAGATTTTACCATATCCATTTTTAAGTCTTTATTAAAACTTAAAAATTCAGATAATTTTGTTTTATTTTTTTCACGTTTAATTCTTTTCTCATACTCATAGTTTTTGTTACTCTGTTTAGAATCTTCGTGCTATACTCGAATTAAAAGAACGGGAATTAAAAGCATTAAAAGATAAAGTGGATCATACATCAAAAACTCATCAACTGGAAATCAATGAGCTACATCAAACAAATCAGGTAAAAAAATTGAATATGACATTTTCTATTAACAAACAAACAAACAAATAGAGCATTCTTTCTAATTGCACATTCATTTACTCATATTGCTATGCTTGTTGAAATTGCTTATTGATCATAAAATCATTCAAACATACCCTACCCTTTATCTGTTGCTTTTGGTTCACATCTTCTTATTTCAGAGCATCGACGACCTTTTCAAACACACACACATTGAACAATAATCGTGATATTATTTTCTTTTTCATATTTCTTTACACTCTTTTATGATGTTCCAGCATGTTTTACTTACTCTTTTTTTTTATCTATATTTAATTTACACTTAAATTAATAGGCAGATTTAGTCATTACTCTCTTTCTTATATAAATTATTATTATGATTAGTTTTAGTAAGAAAACTATCGATTATCAGTTTTACCGGTGATAGATTAACTTCCTTCTGTCGGTGTGTGTGTGTATGTGTACATCTGATTGTTTTACTACGTCGCTGCGTATGTCTTCATGTTTTATTTTAACTTTTGATTTATTATTGATAGTCAAATAAAGAAGATTTAGTTTAACTATTTAACGGACGCATGTTCATATCATCGCGAATATATTTTATACTAATCTTTGTTATTAATTTGAATTTTTCTTATAGATACAAATTAAAACTAAAGTGTATAACAGCACTAACCAACGCTATTTTTAAAAATTACAAAAAAACATATTAAACATACGCAGAAAAGAATTCTAAATTTTGTTCTGTATACTCTAAATAAAATTATCCTATTTGTGTAATAATGATGTAATATTCTTTTTCTTTTTGTTTGCGTATTCATTCTGCTTATTTGTATGCATATACAGGGTGTTCAATAAGTCACTGGACGACTTTAAAATTTAATATCTCCGCTTTGTCTAAATCAACCGGACCAATATTTTTCTCAGCGATAGAGGAAACTTCAAAGCTTTTTTGCATATGGGAACCATTAGCAGACTGCTTTGAAATATCATTATTGGCTTCAACAAAGAAATGTCGCCTTTTTCAGTCGCTAAAAATGCTTCAGAAGAAGAATCCGAGATGCCTTTTAGCTCATATTCTGCCTCATATGCTAAAAAAGTACTGTTTATTAGTTTTGGTATGTTAAGGTTCAAATAAAAAAACAATCTATGATACAAACTTAGCGCTAAAACACGCGCATTCTGCCTTTTCCTGAAGGTAGGACATATTAAGTCTTCCAAATAATCGTAGAATTCGTAGAAAATCCCGTCTCATTCTCAAACCATGATAGACAGAGAAGGCATTCTTGAAATAAATATAGACGTATAGGGCTATACCAAATAGACGTGAGTGAATAAAGTAACACTTATGTGCGCAGAACAGGAAAGAGAGAAAGAAGAAAGTAAAGAATATAGAGTACTTCGGGGTAATTAGAGGCACTCTTCGAAAATTTCTTCCTTTTTTTAGTATTTTTTGGCCGTTTTTGATCGGAAAAAGTTGCTATTGAACATGATGGTAGACCAAACATTTTTCTACACGCTCATGCAAAAATCTTTTCAAAAACTCCGGCCAATTTTGAGCCAGATCCAAAATGCGAAGAGCTTCGTCAAAGTGCCTCTAATTACCCCGTACGCGGTAATTAGAGGCACTTCACTTATACGCTTGGGGTAAATAGAGGCACTCCATTCAAATACATGGAGTTTTAATGTACAATTGCTGGTTAATTAAGCTTAGGAGATAATCAGTTCAAAAATACCTCATTTTGTAGCCCAGATCTTCCTCTCTCTACCATATAGTTTTGAGCTCATTATCATTTAAACTCATTAAGCTAATTAACATATAATCAACAACACTAGAATTTTTTTTTTCTTTTTATGCTTTGGGGTAAATAGAGGCACTCGTGTAATCTCTTCGGGGTAAATAGAGGCACTCCACTGAAATACACGGAATGGCCAGAGACAAACGTTTACCGACTCTCAGAAGCCGAATTTAGTATTAGACCAAGTGACAAAGTTCTTCAGACTGCTGAACTCTATCACATATGTGAAAATTAGCTCATTATTCCAGTGGATAAGCTATCATACTGGCTTCACACTATGTACGATATTAATTTGAATATATTTTATGGGCTAAATTAATTTTAAAATTAATTATGACACCTAGAGACAAAAACTTTTGATAAAATCTTCTGTCTATAGCGTACATAAGCATCTCCTCTATCAAATGCAAAAACAATCATCTGAAAATTATGAGAACTACGCAAGATAACACCAAATTATAGTCATGTAATGATTTAAAGTAGCATTTGAATAATCTTAATAAAAGGAACTTAATCTTAATAAAAATGAACTAGTTGCTGTTGAGGTGGATGGTTGAGTCAAATCAACCGGATAATTAGGTGACACATCTTAAATAGAGAAGTCCACGTTAAGTAAAATCAACGCATTGAAGAAATAAACCATGACTTACCTTTCTCCCATTCACTTGTATTTAAACTAACTCGTGTCGTGCTATCATTTGTTAAAGGACTATGATCCCAATCACTTGTGTTTATGTCGAGTACAGTTGAAAATCTAACCTGTTTCGTTCTTTCTGGAGTCTCTAAATAAAAGATTCATTTTAAACGTGCAGCCACGTAAATTAAAAGTTTAGTACGTACGTTTATCCCACAAACTTGTATTGATATCTAAATGAACGGATGTGTTGACGGCATTATTTTTGATTGCCTATATAAGACAGTGTCCCAGTAGCCTAAGATACCACTCAAAGTTTTTACGATGCCTCGAACTTATATCAAAAAGACAGATAGACAACAATACTCGAAAGATGATCTTAAGAATGCTATTAATAGCATTAAAGAAGGTAAAACGATGCGTCAATTTGCGCGGGATAGTCACATACCACAGACAACACTTCAGCGTCATGCTGGAACATTTTGGTCCTGGCCGTCCGGCATATTTTACTGTCGAAGAAGAAAAGCACTTAGCTACTGCCTTAACTGTGCTACAGGTACGATTGCTTTGACTCTAAACAGATTTTATCATAAATGAAGTATAATTTTTTGTTTTTAAGGAATGGGGAGAACCATTAACAACTCATGACTTTCTAACGATAACAGCTGTTTATGCGAGAGAACTGGGACGACCCAACATGTTTAGTAATGAGATCGCTGGTTATGACTGGTATAACGGTTTTATGAAAGGACATGCTGCATTTAAATTAAAAACACCTCAACCGTTGGAAAAATCACGTGGAAATGTTTCTGGCAGCACTGTAACAAAATGGTTTGATTTAACTGGTATGTGATTCGACCATATATAAGCCGTAGTTTTTGCATGTATGTTTATTTTAGAATCTATTTTTGAAAAGCATAAATTGATTGATAAACCATCTCAAATATTCAATTGTGACGAAACTGGATTTTCGGATAACAAAGCGACCCCAAAAGTTATTGTCAGAAAAAATAAGAAATTTACATACCAACGTTAATATGGATCGGGCAAGACCCACATAACAACACTTTTCTGCATTAGTGCCAGTGGACAGATATTACCGCCGTACGTTGTTTATAAGTCGAAACGATTGCTTGCTAATTGGTGTTTGAAAGGACCAAAAGGTAAATCAATATTTTTCTGATTCTTTCAATTTATTCATATATCTGATAATTTTCTTCAGACGCTGGATATAATACCTCAAACAACGGTTGGATGGAGGAGGAAACGTTTTTCCAGTGGTTTATGGAATTATTTCTTAAACATACAAAAAATATTCCACGACCGTTGCTATTGTTACTGGATGGCCATGCTTCTCATAGAAGTGTTAGACTAATCCAGGCAGCAATAGA